CACATCTGTATACCTTTACACTATGACACCTCTACATTTACATATATGTATGCACATGCACACCCAGACCAAAAACAAATATGTAAGTATTCAGGCCCCATATCATGTCAGTCGGACGCAGGGATGGCGCTTCGGACTCAGTCTGGCACGAAAGACTCTCTCAGGCCTTCAAACTTTAAGGTCACCGCTTAACCCATAGTATGTTTGGCTGTGTTCACGGTTTTAGCATTTGGGGTTTCAGCATTTGGGGTTTAGGGTTTCGACTTCTCGTATAGTGGTGTGCAAAGTGAAGAGTCTAAAGTTTTGGGTTTAGTGCTGAAGGGGTCAGGATCTGCAGTACACACACAAATTGGCACACACACACACACACACACACGGACGGACGGAGACAGAGACATGCAAGCTCAATCTCGCCAGGCAGAGCACTATCATGAGCAGCTTGGACGTCTTTCCGGTGCTGACCAAACGCTCGTAGTCGGCCACATGACTTTCTGCATATGCCAGGGTAGCACAGACTCATAATGTATTCTGAAGAAGTAAAGCATGTGCCCTAGGTTCAACAGTATTGGGCGCGGTTTGGGGTGATGTAACAGGGGATCCATGCAGTTTGTAATTTCGACATCTGCAGCAGCACGTTGCTGAGATCACTCCGCAACTTCCGAAGATGCACCTGTCTCACCTGTCTGCCGGCAGAGTCATATGGACAGTTCGCTACACTTACTCGAAGGAGATGCCTTAGAGCTAAACTCCCACGCTGCGAAGCCTGGGGAGCTTTGGACACGTTGGGCTTGCCTTGGTGTTCATTGCGACATCGCTAGGAGCTGAAGCTTTGGCTATCACTCCGACGTCGATACGTTTGGGTGAGCCCTCAGCCCCCGAGAGCCAACCCCCCTAAACCCTAAACTAAAACCCCGAGCCCTTAGCCCTATCGACGTCAACTCTGAACCGTGAACCCTCGCTTTAGGGCTTAGGTTCCTAAAATGAAATCCCTGGGCCTCAAACCTCAATCCTATAAACTCTTATAAGCCTTCAATCCCAAACCCTCAGCCCTAAACCCTAAACCCTAAACCCTAAACCCTTGAGAACCGCAGCCCTTACCCGCCCATGCACACCGCCTGCCGCCTGAACTCCCGATCGGGAGGGGCTGTATACTACAAAGCCCTGCCCGCTTTGCTTGCGATTTGTTGGGTTCAGGGCGGTTTAGGGCTTTGGGGTTTAGGGTTTTAGGGTATAGAGAGATCTCAGTGTCGATTCTCGCCTTACAGTGCGCGAGTGNNACGAGGCCTGCTGTAAAAAAGGGTTTTAGGGTTTAGGGTTTAGGGTTTTAGGCTTTATAGGGTTTAAGGTTTATGTGCTTTGGTTCTAGCGATGCCGCGCAAACGGTTCACGGATCAGTGGCTTTATGGTCTATGCTTTAGAGTTTTTGGGGGTGTACATGGCTTCCGCCAACTTCACAGCTTGTCAAATTAAAATTATATACCACAAACTCCGCTACCAGTACATTGTACATGCCCAGCCTCCGGCAGACATTACAACACCGAGCTTCATCGCAGCTGACCAAGAGGTGTAGCTGGGTATTGATGGTCAGCACCAAACAGGCCTCGGATGTTTCGCTCCGAAACCTACAACTCAACCACAAAATGTTTTGAACCCCAACAGCTACACCGTTGAGCTCGGTAAGCCTGACAAGCGAAGCAAGTAAAGGTTACCGGAAGTGCAAGCTTAATTAAGGAATATGATTTAAGATATATTATTCCTAATTGCGGGTATTGCGGCTCTCTGGGTTGCTAACATTCATGTCTTCCTGCAACAAGCTGACCATTAGCCTGGACCGGTTTTCACCCACCTCGCTGCGAGTCGAAAACGAGGTTTGGCTTGGTACCACTTACAACAGGGCTGGTGTTTTTAATGCATGGTTGGTGGGGTGGCTGCATGGGGAATTGACATATGTAGCATGCATGCCAGGTCGTCGCAGGGTGTGGCTACAGATGCTGGTCAGGCGTGAGGTTCGCACCATTCACATAATCAGCACGGGTTTAGTCTTCTGACTGACGTGCTACGTGCCGCGGTCCGAAGTTGCTTTAGCTTGCGGATCACCACACACCGGCACCAAAGATCATCAGACTATGCCTGTTCTGACTCCACATTCAAGCTCCAGGTCTCCTCGAAATGGCATCTCAACTAGTTGTATAGATAGATAAACAGATCGATAGATGGCTAGCTAGATAGATACATCGATAGATAGATGGTTAAACAGGTAGATAGACAGGCATGGGTGTATTAGACTGTCTGTATACATGTACACACACGCACGTCTATGTATGTATGTATCTATATATATATATATAGTATACATAATGCACGCTGCTGCAGCTTGCTTCGCTGCGTGAAGTGTCGAACCCTGTTTGCCTGTGCTGGTGCTTTCGGGCTGTTCAGAAGCAACCGTTGATGCTTGCACAAATGCTTGACTTGGACGGTCCTACCACCATCCCGTTGGCTAACCCGAAGGGTCCATGTGCCCAAATAGTACATACCTCGGGGGGGGGGGGGACAATATACCGTATCTAGGTACATGGACCCTGAGGGTTAGGAAAACAAAAATGCAGCGGACACAAATCACTACGGAACCAGCTTTGAAACCCATGAAACCCGAACCCTGAGACCATCTCCGAACTTATTAAAACACCGCATCGCAGCCCCACAATCCTTTCGCTGCGTTGTCGTCGTTGTTGCCGGCCATATATAGTTTTGATTTCTTGATTTCGTATCTCGTGTCCGAAATTCGATCGTTGTTTGATCTCTTCTTCTTATTTCGCGATAGCAAGCAGTTGAAATGAAGTATCCAATGCCGAAGCCGTAATCCCAAATCCTCAACTTTCAAACCTCTCAACCCCCAAGCCCATAATTCTGAACCCAAAACCCTAAACCCGAAACCCGAAACCCTAAACACCCAAAGCCACAACTGGAAGACCCAAACACCATGAACCCTAAAGGCCAAGTCGTGAAAACGCTGAAGCCTGAACCCAACCTGGGTTGCTGCTCTGGAACGTAAAAGTTAAGCAGCCATAATGGGCATATATAGGACATAGCAGGATTTCCTCATTATAGTAGCTTAATCCCTCAACCCTGAACCCTAAAACCCTAAAGCCCTCGAAGTGACATCTGCTTTGATGGAAATGTGAATGACCTTCTGACGACGAATCTCTTGCAGTCCTTGCCAGGCTTGTCCGAGTGTGAGTGTCAAAAAAAGCTCTAAACCCTGAACCCAGCACCCACTGAACCCTACAACCCAAAACCCCTGAACCTTAAACCCTAAACCCAGCAACCCCTGAATCCTGAAGCCCTAAAACCCTAAAGCCCTAAAGCCCTAAACCCTGAACCCCGACCTCTGTCCGACTTTGGCCATGGCTCCATCGACCGACGGAGACCTGGCACCGTGCTCAGGGCAGCTTTTTTAGGATTTGGGGTTCAGGATTTAGGGTTTTAGGATTTGGGGTTTAGGGCTTTAGGGTTCAGGATTTAGGGTTAAGGGTTCAGGATTTAGGGTTCAGGATATAGGATTTAAGGGTTCAGGATTTTGGTCCGAGAACGGGTGCGACACGTCCAGGCGGGATTAACGCAAGCCTGTGCAAAAAGGGTAAAGCGTTCAGCTCAGGCTTTAGGGTTCGGCATTTAGGTTTGAGGATTTCCCTAAACCCTAAACCCTAAACCCTAAACCCTTGTCGGAGGCCTTGTGATCCTCACCACCCCCCCCCCCCTCATATCCAAATCGCTGCACCTCGAAAATGCAGTTCTTCAAGCTTTTTTGGCTCCCTGAACCTCATAATCCGCCCCGGGCTGCTTCAGGCTGCGGGCGGGATCTTTGATGCCATCGCAGCAAAGTCTGAGGCGAGCTCGTGCACAGCGGAGCTGATTTTGGGGGTCTGGTTGAAGACTTTCAAGGGCTGAGGGTTAGCAAGGGTTTCGGGGTTTAGAGCTGGTTTCGGGTATAGGGCTTTCCCGTTTAGGCGTTGAAGGGTTTAGAGGTAGTCGTGTACCTTGCCGACATTCGGACAAACGGGTTGTGAATGGAGCTTTACGCAAAGAAAGGAAGAAAGCGAGAGAGAGGGAGATTGGCTGGAGAGTTGCTATTGACCTTATACATAAAAACATACTATCTTCTCCGATATCAGTGCATTCTGATTTCTTGGGTTGGGCTTCCATTGTTCGGGAGCCTGGGAACTGAGTTGTCGTTGATCGGAAATATGTTGGCTGTGGAAAGGCTCATCTAACCCTAAGGGCCCATGTTACTACATATATAGTTTATATAGTTAGTATATTTAGACCTTGAAGGCTTCCTAGAAAGGTATTTAGTGTCTAAGCACAGATTAGGTAGGTACTTGGAGCCTCAGGGTAGGCTGAAAGCTTAAGCATCTCCTCGGCAATGAGCTCCTCAGGCTAACTTCGAAGTTCATGGTGACGTCCCTGTCTGACCCACACTATAAACACGATCTAAGATTAGATCAATATGTGAAAATGCTGTAATCTTGGGCCTTTTGCACGATTCCGTCTGCGGCCTTGCAGCCGCTGTCTTGGGCTCAAGCTTGGATGCTGTACTACACACCACTGTTCACGGAGCATTGATGGAGTTAACGCAACAGTGTCATCTCGCCGCGATACTGACATCTTTGCCTTCGGCTACACCGCAATTTAGGTTCAAAGTTTCAGGTCAAGGAGCTACTTTAAGGATGATACAGATTTAGGTGCGCAGGGAAAGATCGTTTGTTGTAGCCGTGGTTCCATAACTTCGAAAGGATCTCCGCACATCGTCAAGAACTTACGTAGTGAACTTACGTATAGGACCCTGAACATATTAACTTGGTAGACGAACCAGTTGGTGCGAGAAATCCTCAGAAATGTGTACAACTTCTGCATCGTGGAACAGAAAGCCAACCGCAAGGAGGATCGGTGTCTGCAGCAATCCGGAGTTGTACACTGTCATTTTTTGGCGACTGCTCCCGATGTGGTCGCATCTCGGGAAGTTCGGAATCTTCGCTGGCGGCTGCGTGCCCAAGCCGCAGATAATTCTATCGTTGCACAGCTTGGATGTGCCAAGGAACGTCCATGCTTGCATACACCTGGTTTAACAGTTCAGTTTGTAGTACACTTCTATGGACCATTCACCGTGTTTTCTTCCGGGTCAACCACGCCTGTGTCCAGCCAGTGTGAGTAGTCAGTTGAGCAGTGTCGTGCAGAAAACATATCCCCATTCCGGCTGGTTTTCGATATGTTGTTAAGATCGTCATCAGAATTTGATTTTGGAACTGTTTGCAACACGGTTGTCGTGGTGCTGTATTCATGCCCAATGTTGCTGACAGTGGGTTACGGCGCTGATGACGGAGGGGATGTCGACGATCGTTACTTTCTTCTTTCATATGCATGCCTGTGTTCTTCTAACATGCGCCTTTATGCTGTTTTGAAGAGCTGCAGTCTTCGGCAAAGTCAAAGTTCCAGATCCGGGGAAGTTGGAAAGGCGAAGCGGCGCTTGAGACGTGGGTTGTAGAATTCATGAGAACCTGCATTTCGTGGGCTTAATCTACCGTACCTTACTGCTGGGAGAATGCTGGGGGGCTTGGAGGATTCGCAATCTTGTTATCGCGATCCTCGCCATGTCTGCTGCATTGCTCTCTTCACTCACTTGTGTTGGCTGTCCATGTTCGAAGTTGCCTCGTGGGAATCTGGCGAGGGTGTTTTTGAATATCGGGGGCCTGACTCGGTAGTTGGGCTTTCGGGCAGGCCTGAGATGCAAGCCGCAAGCTCCAGAGTCTCTAGATCGCAAAAGCCGTACATTCCAAGAATCGAAACCAGGCTCAGCAGGACTGCTCTTGCGAAGGTCACAGGAGCTGCGGCTGCCACGGCTGCGCGGGCCTATGAGCGGCGTCAGGCTGGGCACAAGTGCTTGTCAGGGGCTGGTGTCGTCTGACGAGCCCAACACCTGATATTGATGTTTCCGCGAGCGAACTATTTCTTGACATGTGGCAGGGGTTCCTTTTCTTGGCAACCGCTCGTGTGCAAAGACTATACCCACGAGTTCCTCGAACACGCCAAACTCATTTGTGACGGTTCTGCACCTTTGCCGTGCACGTGTGCATCCACGCATGTTGTGAGTGTATCAGCACAGAAAAAGGTAAAGTAGGTGCGTATAGTTGACAGTACACACATGCATTCCTCCGCATACACACATGCATGTATATTCAACATGAATACCACATATGTGGGGCCATCTCTGTAGGTTTGTCTGTGTGTGTTTGTCGTTATGTGTCTGTGCGTTGATCTGCGGGTGGGCTGTGCTGGGCTGGGCCCGCTGGGCTGGGCTGGGGTGGAGTGGGTTGGGGTGGGTGAGTGTGGGTGTGGCAGGTGGGTAGGAAGGCATGCGAGCATGTGTGCACCTGTCATTGTGTGATGCAATATGTATGTATAAGCATGTGAGAGTTTATGCATGCAAGCATGTAAGCACGTAAACATGCATGTATGTATGTAGGTAGGTAGGTAGGTAGGTAGGTAGGTAGGTAGGCAGGCAGGTAGGTAGGTAGGTAGGTAGGTAGGTATATATGTATGTATATGCGTGTGTGTCTGAAGGATCAGACTGTAGTGTACTGGAATGTAATGTAAATATTTGTAAGTAGGTAAGTACGTGAGTAAGAAAGACATTAAGTACGTATGCAAGTGTGTGTATGTAACGATGTTACTATGTTCTTAAGTATGAGACTATGCATCTATGAATGTAACTATGCAAGTACATGCGTGCATTGTTGCCTGTGCATGTATATGTATGCATCAGTGTGCATCCGTTGAACCATTACTGGACGGACTATTGCCGCGCATTCACTGGAGCGGTTTATGTTCTCATTTATTCACGTTCCGTTCTATTTCAACACCTGCCCTTCCTGACGCGGGCAAGTTTCTCTGGTCTCAATACGATAGTCGGACGATTAGAGAGCTGAGCAAGTGGATGGTTCGGGCAACTAGATGTTCCTAGTTCTTCAACATACAGCCTTTTGATTTTTTTGGGGTGTCGTAGTTTACCATGATGCTGAAAGCTTAGCATTTCTTTCAGGTGGCTGTTTGGGAGTGGGTTATCGGCATGCAATATGGTGCTGAAAATCTATACCTCGAGTTTGGGTGTACGGCATGGAACTCCTTCATGAGACTCGGGAGTTGAGTAGTAAGTTAAGATGCATGTCGATATGTGGTGGTCCACTGCAAAAAATCGTGCCAACACCAAACACCAACCGTGCCAACACCAACTTTTCTGAGACATATCACCCCCTGGGAATGACACATCTGCCCCTGTCGGGAACTGTCGTCCATGTTGGCAGAGTCGGCACAGTTGGCAGTCGGCGTTGGCACGTCAGCAAGCGCAGCACAGTTCGTATTTGTATTAGTAAAGTTCGCGTTGGCACAGTTGGTGTTGGCATGATTGTACAGTTAGGCACATTCAGAATTGGCACATTTGCTGTTTATGTTGGCAGTGTTAGCAGTTGGCACGGGATGGGTTGCCGTGGTAGTGGCTGCGATAGTGGGCTTTGATCCCTTGCCTGGGATTTTCTGCCAGTGATACCAGCTCGGCTGCTTTTCGGACCAGCAATCTCGTGAAGCTTGTCCCGTCTGGGAGTGCTGAAATACATTGAATTTGGACATACATCGTGGCGGCTATATGCTCATGCCGAAACACATCCCAACAACAATTGTCTCTACCGCGGCCGTCTTTGTCAGGCAGTGCGGTCGGGGGAGTACTACGAATGCTCAGGCCGTGGATGCTGCGTCTCCGTAATCCCAACTTCAACCGCAATCGCAAGTCCTAAGACCCTCTGTCGGAAGTGCTGAGTGGAATCCCATACCCTAAGGGTCCATGTACCCAAATAGTATATACTTTGGCCTCAAAGTAGTCCCTATATAGGTACTTTGGGGCCAATGTATATACTATATGAGTACATGGACCCTTAGGGATACAGTCGCCACGGTTTGCCGGTGCCTTTGACGCAGGTGATTTTTACCAAGTTCTGGGTCATGCTTGGGCCGCTTGTCAGACCAGACCTGGCTTGATGTGCAATGTGGGAGTTTCCGAAAATAAGGGGTACCTTATTTTGGGGTCGTTATGTTAAGGATCCTACATATTTGAGTACTACATTAGGGTCCCCTAGTTTCGGAAACTTCCATGTTGCTTTTGTTTGGGATCTGAGTATCTTCTGCCTCTGCATACACAACCAATTATAGCACGTTGCATTCTACTCCCTGTCATTATGCAGTGGAATGCCTTCATACGACGCAGATGTATACATGTGCTACATCGCATAGACAGAGTTTGAAAGCCATTTGGCAATCTACTCCCGAAGCCCAAAACACACGAGCCGGCCTACACTTGAGGGAGCCGTTGTCTTGAGATTGTTTATCTTTTGTTTGACCCGTCTTGCCCCGTTTTGGGGCCCTATGCAGAATCTCTTATGTATTTACGGTTAAGGAAGACATCCCAAAAGCATATTGTAACTAAGGCCCCTGTTCGGTTATTGTTATCCTCGGCATCGTATCCATGTTTTGCATTGCGACCCTGGCCCTTCTCAACCTTTTGCTCAGGATCACTTCCGACGAGATTTCTGACACAAGACAGCACAGAGATTTCCTTGGAAGCTTACGATTGCGTGCAAGGGTTTGCCATGTCGCTGTTTCTGCGAAGGAAAGCCCATAGGAGGCATGTTCTCGAATGTGAGTTCCTTGACGGGAAGTTTTCCAAAGAGTGTGAACCGTTGCTTCTGTTACAGTTAGCCACTTGCATGTCCGCGTCCAACTGCTCAACTGCAGGTGTTGACTACACAATAAAATGTAGTGGCCTGAACTGCTTTGCCAGGCGTTTTCCTCAAAGTCCCTCTCGGTAGCTTGATGTCCTCCCTCCCTCCTTGCACGGCAAGGGTTGTGCAGGGGTGAATTGCTGCTGCAACGTTTGACACGCAAATACACTTGATAAAACAGGAGCTAGGTCCACTGACCAGAAGCACCCCAGCCTGTAAATCTACGGAGTTCGTCGGGTTCCATACGTTGGGCGTCTGAATCGGAGTGATGTTGAAGCATCAGGTGTCGTCTACCGTCCGCTCTACCACTGCGAGGCCGGATTAGCCCTAAACCCGAAACCCTGATTAGACCAGGAATCAAGAGAATGGAGTTTGGGGTGTAGACCCCCAGCCGCAAACCCGCGGGGCTTTGAGCTTAACCGGAGTTTACCAGGGGGCCCGAGTAGAACCCAAACCAGTCCAAACCCGATATCTTAACCCCTTATTGGGTTTAATTAAGATTTTGTGGAAGGACCAAGAGTGGAGGAGTCTACTGCGCGCTAGACTTTAGTAATCCAGGGTTTTGGGGCGTCTACCATTGGCTTGTGCCTTGGTTGTGTTTTATTTCCAACTTACAATCCTAGCTGCTGAGCCAATGCCCTCACAATCCGGCACCCTCAAAATCCGGCACCCTAAACCCTAAGCCCCAAGACCGAAAGCCCTAAACCCTAAAGCCCTAAGCCCCTACAGCTGAGCGCCGAAAGGCCTAACCGCTGACTCCTGATACCCAACCCTAAGGGTCCAATGTACCAAATATATTATTTTCGGGTTTCCTTATTATATGTATAGTATAATGGGCCCAAAAACCCTATTCTAAATGTTAAGGCCCCTATATCAAGAATTTAATAGGTACATTGGAGCCCTAGGGTAATCATACACTCTCCCAAATCTTAATCTGCGTATTCATCATCCTGAACCCAAGCACCTTATTAAAGGACCCATTTTTAGTATCCTAAACCCAAGTACCTTATTACTCAAGGATTTCTAGGCCAAAGCCTCAAGCCCCTAGTCTGAAGCCCAGAACAGGCGAAGGAGGGTAGCTTCGAAGCTCACGTTTTGGCGACGTCGCACTTCGAGCGATGCTTGCCCTGAAATTTAGGGGTTTGGGTTTAGGGCCGTTTAGGGTTTAAGATTTAGGGTTTCGAGGTTTAGGGGTCAGGGTTGAGGGTTTAGGATTAGAGGCCTGCGCCTTGCGTGTAAGGTGTAGTTCCGGGGCCCCATGAACCCTATTCAATTCTCTAAACCTACACCAGTTGACAAGTTGAGGATAATCACAAAACCCCAAACCCTCATCGGTTCAGGTTCAGGTGTTCTGTTCAGAGGTTGATGATTAAGGGGAAATACAGCACCCAGTTGGGGCTACAGGCGAATGAGGGTCATACATTATATAGTATTAGTATTATAGTTTTAGTATTATAGTATTAGTATTGTAGTGTTTGTATCAGTATTAGTACTAATATTAGTAGCCTATCAAAGGTCACACTGTTTTCTTGGAGGGTTTAGAGCTACGGGCAAGCCTTAAAGCCCCGTTAAACTTCAACCCCAACGGCTTGGCCGAGAGCTGGCTACCTAGACCCTCCATCTACCTTCTATGTAAGTACTGGGGCCATATACCCCATCTACGGGTTCAACGAGAGTCGTGCTTCTCTGTAATGTTAATGTAGAGGCCTTAATAATTAGAATAATAGGGTTTTGGGGCCCGCTATACTGAAATTATCATAAGGAATTCTTAAAAGAGTAACTATAGGTAATTATTCAGGCCCCTATATTATTATACGTGTCGACTTTCCCGTAATGCCCACAGCGTTTTGGAACATCGACTGTAAGATCCTCGCACTTTCGACCCAGGCTTTGATGACAAATTCCGGCCAGTAGAGTTTGACGCGATGAGCACGGATGCGAGGAGACGCTTACCCGCAATTTTCCAATACGCGGGATTAGGATACTTGCTTCGTTGACAAAACTTGTGCCTTACCTATAGCCCCAAACCCTACAAAGTAGTAACTAGGTTATATATTACTTCGTGATCATAGGGCTGAACCCTTGCTGTACGTACAACAGTACTTAGGTTGCCGGATCCACCGGTGCTGGTGTATCCCTTCCATCAAGAGACTGTTACTGCTTTCAGGGCTTTGTGGTTCTGCGGCATTCTCATGATGCGATAATGGTATCCTTGCTGCAGGTTGGGTGCCTTACAGTCAGAAAGAGTGGGCCGTTTATATACCAGCATGCTGTAGTAGGATGTAGTCGTATGCATGAACAGGCAGAAAAATTGTCAGTACGAAATGCGGGGAATGGACGCTTGTGTTTGAGCAAAAATGTTGATGCATATGCCTTGTGTGCATGTACAGTACCTGCAACAGGCTGGCTCAAATGCTCGCAGCACACACTCACACTTAAATATCTATACATCCAAATATCTTTGTATATTTATGAGAATCTCCCTATATATATATATATATATGTATGTGCGCGCATGTGCCTATATACAGGTATGTGCAAATGATTGTAAATGTATATGTACCTATGTATCTATATATATATATATAGATACTGACACATAAAATTAACAAATAACGAATGATATATATGTACATATACATATATATATATATACACATGTATATATGTATATATGTGCATATCCTAACCCGCCCACAACCCTAAACCCCAAACCCTTAACCCGAACCTTAGACTCTGAACCATTCCTCTGACATCGGCTCATGCACGCCGAAAGGCTTGGCGCTTCCAGGGCCCTTCTGGCACGACAAGGCCTGGGTGAGGGTGGCCGGCAAGCCGGTTTTGCGACGCCTCTTTAGGTTTGGGATTTCTTTGGGGGTTGGTTCTGTGTGGCTGAGTGGCGTGTTATAGTTATAGTATAGCGTTTGCAGGGCTTTGAAGTTTGGTGTTGGGCTGCAGTCGAGTCCCAAGAGTCTCTACCTGCAGGTTCAGGGGGCTTAGCAAGTCGGGTTATAAGATGATTCAAGCACATCAAGTGGTACTGTCAAGTACATATAGCATGATCTATATATAGCTGTAGTTACTTGCATTGCACCTCATATAGAGCCTTACCTTACTAAGCCCGTTGTTGCTCTAAGTATGGGCGAGGCTTGGTTCTGCGTGGCCCGAAAGGAGCTTAAGAAACAAGCATAACCCGAAGGTTCTAATCGGGTGAGGGTTTAGGGTTTAGAGCTGAGTTCTAGGTCCTGGAGGATCTGGTCGTATGATATAGTGCTATCTAGGGGTTCGGAGTCTTTAGATCAGGGTTTAAGAATTTAGGTGCTCCCGGGCTGACGAGGTCGTGGACCGCCACCAAGAGGATCATGTAGGGGCCTTAATAGATAGAATAGGGTTTTGGGGGCTCCTTACTATAATTATAGTATATATATATACAATAGACCCCAATTCAGGCCCCTATAGTAAGTCGATTCCGGTGTGCTTGATTTTGCAACCGCAAATCCGCGGTCTTTTCCTGCCAACACGGAATCCAGGGCAACTACGATCACACAGCCGTTGCCCTTACGCGTGTATGTATAAACTGTGTAAGCACGCACAAGTACACAGCATACCCGGGTATGCCTACGCCTTACTTCAGTGGTCCTGGCAGTTAGTATTTCCGTGGAGTTATATACAAGTTGGAGGACCCGAACTAGGACCCCCAAAACACCAATCCAACTTCCTTCATATTTCGTTCGTGATCTTCCACGTAAAGCGCAGTCGATTCGCCGAACACCCTGCCGACCAGTTCTGGGGCCTCCGTCCACACGTGGTGCCTGCGGAGGGCGGTACTGCTGCCGTGATGCTCCAGCCTGGGCCCTGGCGCTCGTTTAAGTGGGGTTGTTAGAGCTCTTAACACAGTTCTAACAGTTTTAACTTTTAAGACCTGAACCCTGAGAATCGCAAAACCGAGCGACCAAAGAGAAGAGTTTGTGGTAGGTTTGGGGCCTAGTTCTTCATGACCCAACCTTTAATGCTGATGGGCTCTTGTAGTATTCTGAGATTTCGTTTCCCTGTACCCAACCCCCTCAACTTAAACCCGAACAAAATCTCAACCCCTAAGCCCGAATCCCAAACCCAAAAAGCCACCCACACACCCCCACCCCACCCTCCCCCCAAACCCCTTCTGCCCTAAAGCCCTAAAACCCTAAACCTTCAAACCCCTAAACCCCTAAACCCCTAAACCCCTTAAACCCCTTAAACCCCTAAACCCCTAAACCTCTAAACCCTTAATCCCCAAACCCCTAAAGCCCTAAACCCTAACCCCTAAACCCCTCCAAGCCCTAAACCCCCAAACCCCTAAAGCCCCTAAAGCCCCTAAAACCCCTAAAACTCCCAAACCCCTAAAGCCCTCAACCCCTTAAGCCCTAAACCCCTTGCTTAGTAGGAGGCAACAAAACCCTAAAACCCTCAACTCTTAAACCTCTAAAGCCCTAAACCCTAAAACCCTGAACCCCTAAACCCCTACAGCCCCAACCCCTAAACGCTAAACCCTAAAACAAAGCCCCTAAGCCCAAGACTGGGAGCCCAAAGGTCGCGGTTTCTGTCGGAGGCGAAGTCGGTCCAGACCGGCACGACGAGCCACTGAGACATGAAACGAGGTCAGGGTTTATAGGGCTTTGGGCTTAGGGTTTAGGGTTTAGGGTATAGGGTTGGGGCTTATAGGGCTTGTAGGGTTTAGGGCATGGGGTTAGGGTTTATAGGGCTTCGGGTTTAGGGCATAGGGTTAGGGTTTATAGGGCTTAGGGTTTAGGGTTTAGGGTTTAGGGTTGAGGCTTATAGGGCTTATAGGGCTTAGGGCATAGGGTTAGGGTTTATAGGGCTTATAGGGTTTAGGGTATAGGGTTAGGGTTTATAGGGCTTAGGGTTTAGGGCATAGGGTTAGGGTTTATAGGGCTCAGTGTTTAGGGCATAGGGTTAGGGTTTACAGGGCTTCGGGTTTAGGGTACAGGGTTCGGGTTTAGGGCCTAGTTTAGGAGTGAGCCTAGATTAGACTTTCAAAGTCTTGGGGTTTAGGGTTTAGGGGTTTATTAGGGTTTTGGGTTTAGGGCTAAGGATGTGAAATAGGGACAATCATAGTCAGATTGCCAGAAGGCTCAAGACGAGCATCTTCCTTGAGGTTTTCGGGTGTCTAGGGCTATTGAACGGCTGCTGGGTTCTGGAGGCAGCGAAGATTAAACAGGCCTGAGGACATCTGCAAATCACAATTGGAAGCCCCGTTCCAAACAAGGGCAGGTGTTAGGCATGCTTCCACATATGCCGTTCGTCTCAAGGCGGCTATGGAAGCCGCAGCCACGAGGACCCGAATTCGTTGGCGGTAGTGTCCCGAGAACATTACACCCGGGCGGTGGGGCGTCTTGGGTGGTGTTTGTAGCGCCCTCAAGCAGCACCGAAACATTACACGTATGTATACATGTCAAACACACAAACTAGTTGTTACTAGCTGTATATGCATACATACATATGTATATATATATATATATATTTACACATACATACATACATACATACATACATACATACATACATACATACATATATATATATATTCATGCACTTGAGTCAGGATATATAAGACGGAACGCACTGGGCTTGGGACGTAGTACAGAAGTCTGAACAACCAGTGCTCTCATCCCCTCGAATCCCTGAGTAGCAATACTGCATGTACGCCAAAACCTTATTCTATTCAGTTCCCAGGCCCTTGTGCTGTGTAGTTTTTGAGGTTTGGGGTTGAGGTTCATCGAAGAAGCACGCTTGCAGGAACGGCCCACCAGACGCCAGTTGTCTTCCTACTGAGCCGCACTGTAGAGGACAGATACCTCACGCTGCGGAAGTCAGAAAACCGGCCAACATCATTCTGAACCTGTCCGCTGATCACAAGGTCAAATGCCCCAGTTCTAACCTAAACGTAAGCCCTGCAGAGAGGACGATCAAGTAGCACCACGAAAGAAAAAACTGCAAGACAGAACGCAACATCGCGATCTGGCTACCCTAAGCCCGCTAGCCCTAAAAACCTTGCTCGCTGAGACTTTCGATCCTCAGGGGGTTGGGGTTTACGGAGTTCATGCAGGGGTTTAGGTTCAGGGTTTAGGGGTTTTCCGAAGTTGAGATAGATCCCGTTAGTTTGGAATGATATGCAGCCAGGTGTGTTTCTACAAGCTCCCTACAAAGTTTCTCCGAACGACAGGCCCCCCTTATTCTCCAAATAAATTATACCGAGCAGGTGAACGTAAAACCCCGCAAGCCCCAGTATCCCACAATTTCGATCTCAGAACTTTCCTCCCTCCCCGTCCTTTTTGACCAACGATACCAAAAGCACAGAAACTACGGAGAGAGGAAAGTGAAAGGAAACTTTAACCCCGCCCCCAAAAGCAAAACCCAAGTCTCCGGCTGGGATGAAACCCTAAACCCTAAGCCAGGCTTGTCTGGGTTTGCGCGTCAAAAAAGCCCTAAACTCCCAAGCCCTCAACCGCGTTTCTACGTCAGGCTGAGGCCATGCGACTCCTTGCCGTGGCTGACTGGGATGAGGTGAATGCCAAGGTGGGATTGGGCTTTAGGGCCTTTAGGGTTTGAACAACCAATGATTCAGAAACTGACCCTTTATTCAGAAACTGCGCTTCAGAAACTGTGCGTGCTTCAGAAACTGTGCCCGAAACTGCGCTTCAGAAACTGCCGCGCTTCAGAAACTGCGCTTCAGAAACTACCGCGCTTCAGAAACTGCCGCGCTTCAGAAACTGCGTTTCAGAAAGTACCGCGCTTCAGAAACTGCTGTTCGGCAACTGCGTAATTTGGAAACAGAGCATCCATGCTCAAAGCCTAATGACGTCCATGGTCT